AAGCGGGGTTCGTGATACTGAGGCGAGTGACAGATGTGGATGGCGTCGAGGGGTATTTCGCGTTTCATCATAGGTAGCCAAACGGCAACCCCCGATCTCGGGGAAAATGCCGTCTAAACGTGTTGTTGTTGTTGTTGTCTCACTAAAGTTTTTTGGTGAACGTTTAGTTTATTAAAATTCAAAATAAACTTATTTTTCGAATTCATGCTGCAAATAAGGCCATATTTCGATTCCGAATGAATCATCATCAGTGCTCCTTGCTGTATATATAGGGAAATATTGACTTTGTCAAGATGAACTTTGACGTTGTAAAAATTAACTTTGGTGTTGTAAAATTGAACTTTGATGCGAATTAGGTGTCAGGTTTCTTAATTGGCTGGTCATCTTCTTTGGTCTCCTTTTCTTCATCGATAGCATCATATTCTTCTTTGTCACTATTTACGATGCTAGTTTTTATTACTTCTTTGTTTTCGTTGTTGGTTGAGCGCCGGGTTGGAAGTGAGGTTGTCATTTTTTTTTTTTTTTTATACTACAGACATATTAACGCCAAACATTCGGTAGAATTTATAGAATATTGTAAAAATTATGGTCTATTATATATATATATATATATATATATATATATATATATATATTGGATTATGACTCTCAGAAATGTAATTATTGATGAAAATCACACCATGTTCTGTGTTAGTTAGCTTCTTATTTATTTTTTTTTAATTTTTCATTAATAATTTTTATTTATAATTTTTTTATTTTCAGCATGATAGAAAATTTAAGCATGATAGAACAAAAAAACGTGAACCCTTTGAACCCTTCCCACCAATAAATTTAGAAACAGAGGAATCATGGTATTGATGACGTGTTATATTGGACGAAGTTGAAGATTGTAATAAATATTTAAATGGCCGTTAAGTATTCAAAGAATAAGCATTGTAGAGGCACAGGATATATATATATACTTGAGCATTCGGCCACATACATAACGTATCAATTCGAACACCGAAGATTGTATAGAATACGGAAAAAACCTTTTTTGTTCTATCATGTTTAAGTGTTCTATCATGCTTAAATTAAATAAAAATTTTGCTTTTGAACTCAAAAAACTTGAGAATGATTTACGATATGCCGTTAAAAAAATTGAAAAATTAAACAGAAAGCTAACTAATGTGGAACATGCTGTGATTTTCACCATTAATATATATATTATTATAATATAATAAGAGTTTATGAAATTTGAAATGAAAATAGAAATATATATATGAGTTAAAACTATTAAATGCATGATCAGTAACATAAAAGTGAGAAATAAACATTATTATTAACATACTTATAATTCAAAAACTTTCTCCAAGAAAACGTTTCAGAACATTTTTTATATATGTACTTTATGTGAGGCTTCTCTTAACCTTTCACCCGCCGCTATATGTTCCCGTCAATATAATTGAATGAATTTTTTATATGTTTCTATGGATGACATTCTAAGATTCCTCACAAAATTTCAGTGACATACGTCATCAAAAAGTCGAGATGTAGGTATGTTCCCATTTGGGATCGTTGGCGGCTACAAATACAAATTTTATAAAAACACTTTTTGTTCGTAATTTTTATTATAACATTAGTATCATACAATAAACTTCAATGATAAAATGAAAATCAATTGTATTATGACAAAATGAAAAGTTTATGCATAATTCTATAAATCTTTTCAATTTTATAAGTTGTGAAATTTTGGAAAACATTTCTCATGCAAACGTTTGCCGCAAATTTCACACCATTTACGGGAATTTTTTTGGCATAAACTACATCTTCCTTGTGTAGTTGATGACAAATAATGTCCAACAGTTGATTCCTTGACGTTCTTGTTGATAGGACTTGTTGGACCACCTTTCCTGCTTCGGAAATCGTTCAGACCAACTTTCATGGCTACTGCAGCAACATCACGTCGAAATTCTAAATGGCTTTTTGCTTGCCGTGATCCTACAGCGTGGCAGTGAAGCCTCCATGCAGCTACTACAACCATATTCAAACCGTTTGCAAAAAGGTTCCACCACCATTTTTTTGATCGAAGAATGGGTCGATAAGAACTAAGCAAACGATCCAATAGGTCAACTCCACCCATATTTTGGTTATACATTGCAACAACTTTTGGTTGTTTCACTGCGACTTTTTGCTTCTGTTTTGCAGAATATCGCATGATGTTTTGGGTGGGTAGGGCACCAATCCAGTTAGAAATAAGGGTGACAACACTGTTGTCATTCCATCGTACGCAAATTATTTTACCATCACCATTGTAGTCGAAATCTCCGCGACTTTGTTTTCATGAGACTAATGGACATTTATTTGTGCGATTTTCTCGTATAGTACAAATTGCTTTGAATCCTTTTTGCCGCAATTCATCCAACAAAGCATACGATGAAAAAAAGTTGTCAAAGTAAATGCTATGTTCTTCTGGAGTTTTTATGACAGATAATAGTTCATTCACTACACGAGTTCCAAGCGGAATTTTTTCTCCAACCTTTTCTGATTGCGTGTGAGAATCCTTGGCACTAGTATAAATTTGCATAGGAAATGGGTAGCCATCGGGACTGCACATCATCCATACTTTATAGCCAAAACGAATGGGCTTACCACGGATAAACATTTTGCAGCTGTGGTGTCCATAATACGGTACCATAGATTCGTCAATACTAAGACTTTCAGTGAAAACTCCGAATTGTAAAAACTTTGTTGACAAATGTCTGTAAAACGGGGCAACTTTTGCAGCTTTACCATTTTCCAGATTCAAATTATCCACTAAATGAAAGTATGTTTTCAATTCTCTAAAACGTTTCCGAGACATGACTTTTGAAATTATGTTGTTGGACAAATCATCAGCAGTAGACCAATAGTGATCTTCTTCAGGAACTTTATGGTATCCACTGAAAATAAGGATTCCGAAAAAACGTACCAATTCATCAGCTGTAGTATCAACACTGCTTAGTTTTTGCCTGGCGTAAAGATTTGTCATTTGTGCAAGATAATCTAAGTAATCTTCTCCAATAAGTTGTATAAAAATTTCAAAAGGAGACTTATAAATAAGATTCGCATCCACCTGAGACAATGATTTAGGTTTCGATTTTGGTAATGGTTTTTCAAAATTATTCTTTTTCATCCATTTAGGTTGGGGACCATCTTTTTTTGACCGTTTTGCTGGTATCTGATGTGTATATTTCATAAAGGTTATGCTAACAAATAAAAAAAGTTATAAAATTGAGACCTACCTTTCTTGTTAAAATTTCCTCGTCTGAGTCATCTGAAATATTATTTGCCGAAGACGCATTTTTCACAATAACATCCAATTCGCCGCATACTTTGCCGGGATCAATGCTATCCAATTGATTTTCATTGATATCCTCAATGTCGGAATCCTCCAGCCGATCATTAGGTAGTAAAATTAAGATTTCACCGTCATCCTCAAGATCATATGCATTTTCAATCAGATTCACAGCTTCAGCTAATGTTAAACAACGCCGAGCAGACATATTTGCGATAATAAAGAACGTAGACTTGATATACAAAGAATCAATCAATCAATCAATAAAAAAAATTGGTTTATATAACGCTTTTTATGACACGTACATTTGCGCCCGGCTGAAAATATGATGAACAAATGAATAAACAAATAAATAAATGTTATTATGTGAACAAATATAAAAATATTTGCAAAAATTTTTTTTTATATTTTTGTATTCTGATCCGCCAACGTTCCCAATTGGGAACATTTAGATAAAAATTGACACAAAAATTGAACCTTATACTTTTTTTTACATGCAATGTGGTCCAAAATCATTGCCAGCATATTGGTAAATAGGAAAACAACAATAAATAGTATAATGATTGAATAATGTTGAAAAAAATTATAAACTTGAAAATGTACCCATCGAGCAAATTTTTGATGAACTTTGAACCTTCATTTTTATTAAACGTCAAAACCTTGTAATATTTATTTGTTACATTTATCGACTTTAATTCAGTATATCCACGCAATTTCATCAAGCTATCTAAAATATTTGAAAAAATAACTAACCATTGAACTTATGTTCCCGTTTGGGAACGTTGGCGGGTAAAAGGTTAACCTTTTACCCGCCAACGTGTGGAGTCATCGTGGGCATAATTATGAAACATTCTCAAATTTTGGTCAATTGCCATTTGGTCAATTGCCATTTCACCATTTGCCCTATTTATAGTGGCCCATTCGATATAGATTATTGTTCTTTGTATGCTTTGCTCTGAATGTTCTTGTCTGAACGATTCATAAAATGTGAAATGATGTTTGACAGGAGAAGACTTCCGGCTGTCATGGTGAGGAGTCACATGTGTGAGAATATGAAAGCTGCAGTCACGTTCATCGAGCAGGGACGTTAGTTCACTTTTTGTTATCAATATTTTCCTGTATATAAGCTATCAAATTTAAAACTTAATTCTAAAAATTAACTATTTTCTTTATTTCAGATTGAAAAAATTAGGAGTTTTAAAACACTTTTTCACGATTTTTGCAAATTAATTTTTAGAAGCATCCAAACACACCAATTTGAATACACGTAATTCAACACACCAGCCATGCTGCATGCAATGGGCAGGTATTTTTTTATTGCAATCCAGTCACTGCATCAGCAGGACCAGCTAGACTTTTAACCATTACAATAATGCCAAAGTTGGCTTCCATTTAGAAAAAGACAACTGAGTATGACTTAGGTTGAATGTTTAGAACGGGCAAAAAAGGTTGATAAAAACAGATGGCCTATCTTCTAAAAAAGTGATGAAAATGACAAGCAATGGATGGCCATATAAACTGCAATAGATACTAAACTGAAAATTCACTCACAATTTTTAATGCATGATCATTGATATTTTTGTTATTTAGTTTGATAATGTCTAAACATCTATCAAATCTCACAGATGTACGAGTAGGACCAGAAGTAGTTACTGATCCTGCCTTCCTCGTAACCAGGTAACTTTGATTATATTCCATTTTTCTTGAGTAGCCCAAATAAACATTGGCATCAAATTTATGATAAATAACGTAATAATAGTGATCTATATATAAATAAAATCCATATCCGTTTTTTGTGGAATTATTCATTACACAATTTTTACTATCTTAACTAATAGAATTTAACAGAATGTTAGATTTTTCTTTTCAATAAAATTATGTCTTTTTGACACAAACTGACGGAAATTATCAGTTCTCGATAATATTTCAGTCTTTTTTTAATTGTTAATAAGCTTTTCAAAATAATTCTTACCTTTGAAGAAATATGGAAGATTTTGTAACATGGTCGCACGCATCTGCAATAAGAAAACATTTGATGGAATATAACGAGATGGTTAATAATTTTTTATAATATTATTATTTTCTAATATATTATATTGTTATAAATAAGAATGTTATTTTTCATTTCAGCGAGATGACTATGAATGAAGCAAGGATATCAATCCACTTTTATTCCGGATGAACTCTGTCTTTGTAAATAATTTTGAACAACTGTCCCACATAGTTTGTTAATGAATAAAAAAATAACTTTATTTATGGATCAGTTTTCTTTTTTTGGCTTTTTGGAAAATATTTGAGCAAGTTGATTAACAATAAATTATAAAAGTTTAGAAAATTGATGGATGTGACGAAATTTTTAGTTAGAGGTGTCTATAAATAAGGGATGTGAATCCTTGGCATGGGTCAAAAAATTTGCGACATTATGCCGAGGGGGGAAAATAAGAGCTAAATTTCTATTGTGAATTAAAAATTTGGACAAACTTTTGTTCGTCAAAAAAAATTAGGTTCGCTACTCATCATAGAATTTAGCTTCCTTGTTATTTACCTTCAAGCCCAAGTTAGATGAAGTTGATATTAATTTCCAATAATTCATTCGTGATGCTGGATTGTTTGCGTAAAGCATTTTAACAGGAACGAACAAATGGTAGCTATGTTTTCTGAAAAGTGAGACAGCCATCAGACACAAATATGCCCTACGATAAAAGTGAGGTCGGTCTTTTCAAGTTAGCTGTTTGCAAGGTGTTCATTGGCCTCGTTTTCTACAAGTTGAGTGGAAATGAACAAGGTAACGGAGAAGCCAACTTCAACGTTTGGCATATATTATAAGGCCCATGAATGACGTACTAACAAAAACTTGTCTAAATTTTTATTCAAAATAGAAATTTAACTTCTATTCCCTCCGGCACAATGTCAAAAAATTTTTAAGTCACTACCAAAGCTTTACATCCCTTATGGACAGCCCTGAGAATCAAGAGCAAATCAAGATAAAAATTATTTAAAGCAGTTGAATGTATTTTAGTCAGAAACAGCATTGCAAATACGTACTCAGTCACGTTGGATTGGATATGTGTTAAGACTTAATGTTTCGAAATGTTGCAAATTATTTACAGTGAAGCAGATTGTAACGTTTGTGGGCATGTTGCATGCAACAACTCGTTTTCGTTGCATTTTAGATATTGTTTCAATATTAATAGTTGACGCAACTTATTTCGCTGGTAATTGCTAATACTGATGACAATCCGGTTTCACTAATTTATTAAAAAAAACTATTTCAATTCAAGCTGCCTGTTTAAAACTTTTACTGAAGATATTGACGACAAAAAAACGGCATGTTCTTGCTGTCAATACACGATCATATCACACACATCCCGCTGGAAGATCCTCCACATGGATATATCCTCCGCATGGATATATCCATGTGGAGGATATCCATGGTCCAATCATAATGGGTGCATGATATCAACGTTTTTCTTGCTTCCAGTAGAGCGTATAATGGAAGGGATACGATAGGATAATTGTAGTTTTAAGTTCCATGGTTGCGACAGAATTTACCTGATTACTTAAATAATAATAAGAAAACATTGTCCCCAAGTATTTGGTCGTATAATTATAAAACGCGTGGATATATACATTACGCGGGTTTGAATAAAAATCGAAGAACATAAGCTAATGCGGCTGCATTAATTGAGCCTTTCCTAAAGCTGTAAAGCATCTTAATATTTTTAAAGATAATTTATTCGTATTTAATCAAATTATGTGCGTGAATGTATTTTAAATAAAAGGGTTTTATTATCGACATATAATTATATAACAGTGTCTTTGATAAAAGGGGTGGAATTTACATAAATTGATTATTATTTACATAATTTTCATAAAATGGACGTGCAGGGGAGCTGATTTTAGGTGACGGTTTATAATAATTCGAGTAGCGCTAATGATAATACCAATGAAATATTGTTAAAATTTTATTTTTTGTAATAACAATTTACAATAAATAATTAAGCAGTGGCTTCGGTCCGGACCGGTTAGTTAAGTTAGGGATAGAAGATAAAATAAATTATAAGATAAATGAGGCGATGATAATGAATCCGATAAATTATCGGATAATCAATAATGTTTTTCATTTTTATCAATTTCAAATAGGTATTTTTGAGATATTTCTTTTAGTTTCTAGTTTACATTTTTTTTACTTTTGAAAGTGTACTTTTATTATTTTTTATTTTGTTTCTAAAAACATACTAATTAAAATTATTTTATATAATTATAATATAATAATAATAGTAATAATAATTATAATGTCATTTGTTCATGTCATTTGACGCCTTTTATGCATAGTGTCCGAGGTACCTGGATGATAAACAAATGTCAGCTCGGCCAGTAAAGGCCTGTTTGAGCAGATGCTGTATCAATCGCTTCTTAAACTTTTCTATCGATGATTGTTAACAGATAATGAGTTGCAAACTGTTTCATATTGATGGTGAGCAATGTGGAAAGCCTTTGTTGGGGAGAGCTGGTTCGTTGATGCAGTGCTATAATGACAGTGCTAACTTCACTTGAAAATGTCAAAACAAATGATGTTTCAAACGTTTCTTGAAAACATGTCGGCTCATGTTGTTGAATTTTTTCAAATATTTATTTGTTTTAAAGCGCAGACGAAAAGCACATTATGAGATTGTATAACATATAAATATAAAATATAATAACATATAACAGCATATAACACGGTATTTATATGAGATTGAGATTATTTATTATGATGTTATCAGTCAAGGAAGATGAAGAGAGAGTAAACAAAAAAAGAAGTAAGATATCCAATTAGAGTAAAACTGTCATGTCTTGTTTCTAATCAATCATAAGTATTTTATATGGCTTTTGAAATTTTCCTTCACAAGTTTTATTCTGATATTATTTATTTTTCTCTTTTCGATTATTCTTCCTGCTAAAAAATTATCCATTGTTTTAAAATATGATTTTTGCCTATTTTACAAATTAAAATTTAAACATGGACTGGCTGCTAAGCCAACTCTATAATTAGGATTGTTTCAAATAAATAGCAATCTAACTTCTATTGGCCTAAACTCTAGATGTTTATGACCATCTAGCATGCTGTAAATCTCTGCAGAGAACACAAATTCACCACAAACAAATATCTCTAACATCTTGTCATCTATCCAGCGACTCACTTTATTTATGTCTTTTTTACTTTCTTTCATACTAATTTCTCATTAGTTGATCTTTCACATCTTCAAAATCCAGGACATCCAGGATTTGATTTTTCATTTTTCTCAGCATCTTCATTTTTATTTTTTCAATCCCCATTAAAATAATAATTTTTGCTAAAAACAATCAAATATTATTGTGAATGTACTAACTGTCGCTGCTTCATTTTTGTAGTTTTGTGGATGCCAGAGCTGCATAACAAAGAACAGAATTTCTTTACCAGTTTAACATCATGGTTTTATTTAAGATTTTCACCGCTAATTATATTTTTTTGATGAAAACTTTTTACCAATTAATTATGGAAGGTTGCTTGCGTTATTAATTTAATCTAACTTAACAAATTTATTTCTATTTTTAAAGATTATCGTTTTTTGGTGGAAAAATTGCCAAAGAATATTTTAAAATGATTGGTGGTTTGTTCATTTATAATCACAAGGGAGAGGTTCTTATTTCCAGAGTTTATCGTGATGATATCGGGTTGGTGAAACTTTATTTAATTTTAATGTTTAATCTTTTCAACATAGATCAGTTTTGATGAGGTTATACAGAATTTTAAAAAGGCATGAGTCAAAATTAACTTAAGACGTCAATCAACAAGCGAGGCAAATTACCAAATATTTTTTTTAGATTTGAATTTGCTAATAACATTGAGAAATAAGTGACTCGAGCAAAAGGTTCCTCAGAATTCAAAGTAGACTGGATTACTCTTTTTCTTCATGAATAGGCAGCAATAAATGGGTCTAAGAAATTGTTCAAGTTGTTTTAGCAGGCAAAAGGCATTGTAAGAAATATGAAATTAGGTTATACAATAAGTATGATGAAATTGTTTTTCCATATTATTATCCTTTAAAAAGTCATGTTCTGACAAATGTAGAATTTGTTCCAGCATTCAAATTGACGAATTAATAAAAGAAAGAATGTAAACAGAATGCAAAGTAATGAAAATGAGTTACATATGTATGATAAAATATTGAGTTATTGAGTCATTTTTTAAGGTGAAAGTAGGTGAAGAAAAATGAATGAATAAGAATTTTGTGACAATTTTGTTGTTAATGAAGCCCAAAATTATCTAAAGTTGGCTGAAAATGATTTTGAGTCATGAAAAGGGTACAGAAAAAGTACCTCTATAGGTTAAGCAAAAATCCAACAATATCTAGAAATGTTATTTTTAAATATTGATTATTTTACATTTTTAGTCGAAATGCAGTCGACGCTTTTCGAGTCAGTGTAATACACGCAAGACAACAAGTCAGATCACCTGTAACAAACATTGCTAGAACAAGTTTTTTCCATATTAAGAGATCTAATGTTTGGCTGGCTGCTGTCACCAAGCAGAATGTTAATGCAGCCATGGTATTTGAATTTTTAATTAAAATGGTTAACATCATGCAATCTTATTTTGGCAAAGTGTCAGAAGAAAATATTAAAAATAACTTTGTGTTGATCTACGAGTTGCTGGATGGTTAGAGCAGTACTTATATTCTATGACTAAATGACTAAAACCTATTTCTTTTAACATTTTTTACTAACTTCAGAAATTTTAGATTTTGGTTATCCTCAAAATACTGACATGGGAGTTTTGAAGACATTCATCACCCAAGCAGGTATCAAATCTCAGGTTGGTTTCCATATATCAAAATCCTTAAAATTATCTTTAATTTTTTTGACCAAATTAGGAATCTATGAATGCTAATAGCAATAGTTTTTTAAGTAACATTTCTTACATGCCTAACTTTAATAGAGTAACACTTTCAGTGTGAGTATATTTTTCCCACAATCTTTTTTATCCTTCAACAATGGAATTGTATTGTGGGGCAGTTTAACATTATGTGGTCAGGCCTCCTTATAAAGAACTTCTGTACAAAAAAATCTATATAACGAACTTTTTTATGTCCTTTGGAATTTTACATATAAAACTTTCTGTAGAAGGAAAATAATTTCTTTATGACGAACAAAATTTATAAAAGTTAAAAAAATATCCGACAATTGAAAAAAAATTGTTGATCATAGTTACATTTTTTTAACCTAAAGTAAGTATATTTTGCATTACTGTTTAACGTATTATGCTTTTTGCTACATACATCGTAAGTTCATACACATAATGTGTTATTTTTCCTATTTTTTGTAATTATACTGCTATGTAATATTACTCTTTGTTATGAAAATAAATTGTTTAAAGGTTGTTTTTCATAAATAAATAGCATATCTTTCATTCTTTCTCCTGCCTTATCCGTTCAGGACATTGACGACCTTGAATACCATCAACCTCCACAAAACTTGATTTTTAACACTTTGCAGTAGTTGAAATGTGGTGATATTCAACAGGTGACACAAGGATTTCACAAATGTTATTTGTTGTTTACCACGATCTCTTCTCCCTACAATCTTTCCAGTGGCTATTGGATTTTCCATTTCTTTCTTCTGCATGATGTGACCGAAAAAACTTTAACTGCATCTGTCATATTTATTTGTGGTATTTTCTTTTCTTCATAATCGAACTGTTTTAATTCTCTAAAACACTCAGTACACCCCATACACTCAGCCAGGCTCAAAAGGAAGAAATATATTCTAAGCTGCTACTTGATTTGTGGCAGTTGAAGTACATTTTGTTCTTTGAGAAGATTTATATGGCATATAAACCCATTTTTAGGCAGTATAGATTTTTTCCAGAGCAAATCTTATATAACAAAATTTCTATGTAGCATATTTTTTTCTTGGAACCATCAAGTTTATTGTACGGAGGTCCGACTGCATTCGGTTGAAGGAGAGTGACTAACTTTGAGCAGAACAGAATGCACTTCAACTACCACACATCAAGTAGCAGCTTAGAATATATTTCTTCCTTTGAAACCTGGATGAGTGATGTTATTGTATTCAGGCATTGATTCTGCAAAATTAGCAAATAGTTTGGCTATTGGTAAAATTGCAATTATTTAAGTTTACAACTATTTAAGCTGTGTGTATGTATGCATTTATTTAGGACAGCTTGTGTACGCTGATATATACAAGCATGAAATGAACTGCATTAAATTATTTTGGATGAAAATTATTTAAAATCATTAAAATTGAAATTTTATGTTATATAGAATGAAATCTTGTGCAATAAGAATTGTTTGTTGATTTTATCCATCTGTAATAAAATGTGGTAAATCTATTAATTGATCTGTTTTTTGCAGTTAGTTTTAATTCAACAAAGTTATTTAAAAAAGGATTTGCCTGAGAAGTTTTATAGACAGTCTTATATATTAGATGATGCTTATTTATTTACATAATGCTTAAAATAATGTTTAAATAGTGTTTTCATTACTTAAAATTTTTTCATAATTTTGAAAAAAAATTTGTTTACGAACTTTTTGGGACTTTTGGATAATAAATAATTATTAGGTTAAAGATTAAATTATTATGTTTTTGAAGCTTTTATTAATGAAAATTCATCAGACAAAAGAAGAGACAAGCCAGATTACGTCGCAAGTGACTGGCCAGATAGGGTGGAGGAGGGAAGGCATCAAGTACAGAAGAAATGAACTCTTTTTGGATGTTCTTGAATCAGTTAACCTGCTCATGTCTCCACAGGGTTCTTACATTATTTTGACTTGACTGTTAATTAATTCTATTAAAACACTCAAAAAATTTCCTCTTCCAAAACTCAAGGCCAAGTGTTGAGCGCTCATGTTGTGAGTCGGGTGGTCATGAAGAGTTACTTGAGTGGTATGCCTGAATGCAAATTTGGTATCAATGATAAATTGGTCGTTGACAGTAAAGGTCGAAATACAACTGACGAGCTCACAAAATCGTTGGTTTTTTGGTTTAGCTAGAAATTGATTATTATTTTATATAGTTGAACTAAAGCATTAATGTTATTTTCTTAAAAGAGCGGGAAAAACGTCAATAGCGATAGATGACTGCCAGTTCCATCAATGTGTGAAGCTGTCGAAATTTGAGACTGAACATAGCATTAGTTTTATACCTCCTGATGGAGAATTTGAGCTAATGAGGTTTGTTGCATATCTTTTTCATCATGATTGTTTCAGTTAGGTGCTAACGATGAATTAATTGTCTTCTGTTTGGTGATGGGGCTATGTTATTGAAAACAACAGGTATAGGACAACAAAGGACATAAGTTTACCATTCCGAGTGATACCTCTTGTGAGGGAGGTGGGCAGGTCCAAGATGGAGGTGAAGGTTGTCGTAAAATCAAATTTCAAACCATCATTACTTGCCCAGAAAGTAGAGGTTTCCATTTTTTTTCTCACTTTCATTTTTTTGATAAATTTCAAATGGACCGCAATGTAGATTCATTCAGTCAATTAGAAGGGTTAAAGGATTGAAAAATAATGAAATATAATAATTAAAATAGTCTACTAAATAATTGCTTTTGAAATGACCACAGTGACGGGGACTTGCTGCCAACACCCAATTTAGAATTTTTTTCCCCGCTATCAGCTGACCTGTATGTATAAGTTATTTTGTTTTGCATAATTTTTATTTGGCCCAGATATTTGCTGCAAATACTACTTCAGTCAACTTTGCAACTGGACATCTTTGCTTTTAGTTGTTTTTGTTAAGCTACTTAGACATTTACATTCAACATTCAATTATTTTTGTTGGAAATAAGGTTACCAACTTTATTGATGTTCCAATTTTTATGAGATATGACAATGGGAATGAATAGTGTTGAGAAAAAATGGAATTTGCATAAAAAACCATTATTTTCATGCCTGTGTGTGCGTACTTCTTTGGATATACTATTCATTAATTTTTTTAATTTATGATTAAAGTTTTCAATAATGTGCTGTTGATTGATCTGCTTTCGCCTTGAAAGCTCAAAATTCGTACCGACAGTTCCGTGAAAGATCACATAATGATTGGGGTAATAGTTTTGTTACATTCAGATTGTGGTCTTTTGGCGGCTGGAAGGTAATTTCATCTAAAAGAACAGGCTTTTTATGATGCAATCTATTTACTTTAAGTCCAAATTGGATTTGTTATAAATCTGTGTGGAGTCAGTGTAGACCAAATTAAAAACCACTGCCCGAAAATTTTGAATGCTGAATTAAATTAAACACTAATCTTTCTGATCAGTCCAGTACCTGATCTATTGACCTCACCTTTGCTTTTTTGTAGTAGGTTAGCAAGGAAGAAATTACGGATTTTACTCAATTCGTGCTCATGTTTTGATGTTTTAGTTAACTTTTTATATCTTATTTGCATTTTGGTTTTTTATTTAATGCAGGAGATGTGTAAGTTCTTCACATGACTTTGTGTTTTAAATGGATTAAAAATTCATATTTTAATTTGGTTGAAAAGTCTAATGTATCAACATAGTATGAAATGAACACACTTAGGTCAGGATCCCAACTCCTTTGAACACAAGTGGTGTTCAAGTCATTTGCATGAAGGGAAAAGCTAAATACAAGGCCAGTGAGAATGCCATTGTTTGGAAGTAGGTGCCATTTAGTTTGTCAAATGAAAATTTTATTTTTTATAAAATTATTTTCATTTTCAAGAATAAAACGAATGGGAGGTATGAAGGAGTGCCAACTGAGTGCAGAAATTGAACTTCTCAGCACTGGAGAAGGTAAAAAATGGACCAGACCTCCAATCTCTATGAACTTTGAGGTTCATCTTTATTCTTTAAGCCAATTTTTTAATATCTAACATTGTGTGTGATGTTTGCGATGTATAATGTCTGATGACATCGGCCAATCCAGTTACACCACTTTTGTGTCCACATTTTGAGGTTAGAAGAGGTTGTTACCCTCACTACTTCTATGCTTGATACCTGTCAAATTAACTTACACTTATTGAGATTTTGCCGCTTTGAATACAAACTGGGTACTTGTCTTACCTTGTCTTACTTTTATTCACACTCCCCCTTGGTTTTTAAACTTTTTGGCAAATTTGATTTTTGTATGATCTAGAATTATTTAATTTTAGGTTCCATTTGCTCCCTCTGGATTCAAAGTGAGGTACTTGAAAGTATTTGAACCAAAGTTGAATTATAGTGACCATGATGTCATCAAGTGGGTCAGATACATTGGGAAGAGTGGTCTCTATGAAACAAGATGCTAAACTTTCGCAGGCGGTTGCTGAATGAACAATATTTTAGTTAACGCATGTCGTGTATGGATTATTTCATGGAAATAATTTTAGTTGGAATATTAAATGGTTAGCTAGTTGTGGTCAACATAAGATTTAAAATTGTATGGCATATATAAAATACATTTTTGTTCGCAATCTTATGATACGGACCATATATGTGTCGCGACTAAATCTTTTGTGTAGTTCAGTTAATTTCGCTTTATTGTATAAAGATAAAGCCACAAAATCATGAACTTCGGGTCAAGCAATGTTCTGTTAATGAATTAATGCAACAACTAGTTTCTTCCTTTAAACCGAGCTATAAATCAATCAAATACGTTCATTTTTTGTTTCTTTCATTATTCAATTTACCCTTTTCAATTTTCTGTAGTAATTGTGAAAAATTATTATTTCCGACATATCTTTTATTTAAGATTGGTAATTAAGTTTTTTTACTTGTTCCATAATAAACAATTTAATCACTTTCTTTTACGTGTCGTATTTGTCAGGAACTTAGTGAAGGATTCACCCATGTCGTTATTATTATATGTCATACGCTTGTTTAAATAATTTGAGGATCATTTGTGACAGTCAGTGTTCTAGCTGTCATTGTTGCATATTTGTTTCAATAGTTGATAATTTGATGTAGCTTGTTATAATTGAAATTTATTACAATAAATATAGTTGAATGTTAACGACTTCAGCAATTTTCACTTTTTCTTTTCCTTACGAGTTAGACAAAACTGTTTTTGTAGCTGTAGAATGTAGAAGAACAACGTATAAAAGTGCTTGAAATCAAGAAGGGAAGTTTCGCAGAACAACGTGGTCATAATCAGTGTCGAATGAAAAATATCCGACTTCGGCCCTTCAAAAATTTCCGAATCCAGGTAAAAGCATGGAATCATATGATTCAATGGGTAAAAGTTTCCGACTCCCAAAAAAATATTTTCAACTTGCATCACAATTTTACTAAAATCTCACTATCAATGAAAAATACTTTTAAAACGCTTAAAATCACTTAAAATAATTGTTTTTGTTAGTAAAATTAATTTATATTTATGTTTTAAAACAAAAATGTGACTAATCACATATTTTTCATATTCATTTATTCAAAAAGCGATTTTCACACTTAAAATTTATTTCCAGTAATACAGGTGATAGCGTGGCTACTATATCTTCCAAAAATCATGATCTTAAAAAAATTTCAAAATAAACAACTTTTTTAAATTCCTAACATTTTCCCCGGAGTCGTTGCTTTTTTGCATATATGTATATATTACAATTTGTAAAAAATTATTGAAGGGAGGATAAAAAGTGGTTTGCCCCTTAAAGTTGGCACCTATGCTTAGTACTAATTAAATAATGGAGGGTGACCGAAGTCCCATTTACGCCATTAAGAATAGCTAACGCAAGTTCTTAAGTCCCATCCTATACCTAATAAAGCTGTTCAAGGCGGGACAGCATATGTTCGCTTCTTTATCAAGCAAAGATGCGAAGCCAATTTTTAATAAACTAGTCTAATTGAATCAAAACCTTGAGTTACATTTTACATATTTCTTGTATAATAAAAGTAATGTAAAACTTGGTCTTATCGTACTACTAAGTGTTGAGTGGCAGCGAAAATAGAATTGAGGCTCACGTCAAAGTAAATGCTTACGATACAAAGTTTGGTGACGTTAATATAATGGATACTCCCCAAACAAATAGATATCCTGTCAAACAAAAATTGAATTGCCTAATGCTCTTTTAAAAATACCTGTATTGCTGCAAGTTTCCAAGTTCACGTTAACTTTCAAGTTAATTTAATCAAGATGTGGAAAACCTAGCATTGTGGGATGTCAGTGAATTTATCCGTGAATGTGTAAAAGCAAAGGATAAGTTGATATATCGATAAACTAGACTTGTTTTTATAACGATTTATTGGGTAGCAAAATCGTTACACATCTCAATCGATGTTCAAAACATTTGTTTAATGGTCATGAAATAAGACGTAATATAATAAGTATTCTGAGAGTACTAATAAACTGTTTTGTGTTACTTACCAGCCATTCGGTGGCGTAACTAATATGAATAGAAAAATACAATGACTGTTTATCATTAGATAATAAACAGCAATAATAATAATATGTAATTTATACAATACCCAATGCATAGCGTTAGGGGCAATCAGGTCAAGTCGCGATCGATATCGTACCCAAATGCTCGACGAAGTAAGTAGTGCTATAAATGCTTTTTATATTATTTTTAATATTAGTAGTAGTAGTTTGGAACGCTTTAGGGACGCTTGGATGTTCCGCTGATAGTAACGTCGCCGAAAGCTTGTTCAAATAAAAATTTCAAAGTCGCTTATTTCGTGATTCCATTTTTGGACCCATTGAAGAAAAACTAAAAGGTGGGAAAGTAATTGCCACTTTTTATGATTGTTAAAGCATAAGAGTTGAAAGTTAGAGAAAATTAAATTAAAGATTTTGAGATTGGAGGGGATCAGTCATGCGTAGGTATTTTAAGATCTTACGCTAAATAGATTTATTGATGATTGTTCTCTGACAGATGAGGTAAATATAAAAGATCCTAGTTTAAAGACAACTTGTATTACAGATTAACAAATTTAAACTGCTTTAGGCAGTTCTTAAAGCAAGTGTGAAAGTAGCACGAAGCGTGAGGCCGAGAGTGGGAGCGGCGTCTTTTTCACAACCCAAGGAAGCAGGTGTTTAGATCCGCATCTGTCCGCCCTGGTTAAGGTGGCGACTTAACATCATTGTACGAGGATTAAAATTAAACATTTCACGCTAAATTTATTTTTAACAATTCAACGGCCGTAACCGTGGAGTAGATGTGACATTTCTTCTTTTAATGCTTTGACGAAATCTGAAAAATTTACATCTTTGGAACGCAAGAAAATATCCAAAATGTTATCCATGCAATAAGCTAAGCAGACATAAAAGCATTGCACAATAATGCTATAAAAATGATTACCTCCTTTCTAGAATATAATACTAAGAAAATATTAACTAATTTAAAATATTTTAATGATGTATAACACCAAAATGGAATGGCACTATTCAAAATTGCCGAAGTCGAGAAATTCTTTACGTAGTCCATCTTTGCCTTATTTCAGCAGAAAATAAAGAGGATGTGGCGTTCCGACCGTTGAATCATTTGGAAATGTCTCGCTAATGATTCGTTTTAGGGTGGTTTGACGTAAATATAAAAAATTCGCAAAAATCTGTGAAGGTACACATGGTTTATTTTTAGAGTACACAAAAATAAAATCCATTCGTGTTAATGTGAAATAAGAAAATGTTTACAAAAGTGGGCAGTTTAAAAAAATTTATTTATTTAAAACATTTAAACAAATTTTTTATAAGTACCCAACATGAAAAAGGCCAAAATTAAATCAAAAGATTGAATTTGGTTAATCTCTACTGTTTCAAAAAATATGATTTGATTTTAGCTAAAGAAATAAGAAAAATTTAAAGGCTAGTACAAATAACTGGTTGTAGACCGTGAACCAGAACGGTAGGTGGAATCTCTTGAGTTAATAATTCTAGTTGCCTGTAATATATTACCTGTTTTCTTTCTGAATCTGGTACAGTGGGCAAATAAAGAAAAAGTACTGCAGTATTTGAAGATTGACTTTTTAATATTTCGTTTACTTGTTGTATATAACTATCAGAGAATATTGGATCCGAATTGGATGTGAAGTCTGAAGATATGTGCATATGATGCATTAAATCGTCTATTTCAACCACTTTGATTTCGGCCCTAATTCTAAAAAGGTTCAAGAAGTCAACTAATAGGGACTCAATGCGCTTCATTTCTGAAGAGGAATTCTGACAGCAGGCAAATATTCTCAAGGACGTGTGTTTCCTCCAACCAGGTACCATATGAAGTATGCATGCCAGTTGCAGCAAAAATAAGCACGTCTTATCAAAATTTACCGATGTTGAATTTAAATTAAAAAAATTAACGGGCCATACATCGATAAACATTTTCTCGGAATAGCTTTCAATTTTAATTTTATCCAGAAGATGAAAATGTCTGAAAAGGCAAACATTTTTCTTCAACTTTATGGCATCTCGAATCATCAGTACGTACTCAAGTTTAGAAAATGATTTTTCTGTATTGACATGGTTGAAAATGTCAAACGCGTCCTGCTCTTGTGCTCGCATCTCGTTCCTCGTATAGAGTTTCATAATATTCATTTTTCTACTGTTAGTTTGTGGAATGAATTTTTTTAATGTATCTACGGGCATAGAGTCATCATAGAAGCCATAACAGACTGTGTTTGGTTTCATTCCACCAATACCAGAAATTCTAATTAAATGGTGAATACCTTGACGGATCGACGAAGACATCGTTAATTCAACAAATGCTTTAGCGTTCAACTTTTCTATCAATTTAACCCAGATAAGGTACTCATTTTGAAGAGGGTCTGTTTCATCATTATCAAGATTTCCGACTTTAACATGACCAACAATGTACAAGCCGCTTTTCTTCAAATCATTTATAAAATCAATAAGTTGGCTGCTCATTCGAGGATTGGCTACTAATAAAAGCATCTGAGGTCTCCAAAATTTTATGTGATCCTTTCTAAAATCTAATAGCAAAAGATATTTTCGAACTTGATGAAATATCAAGGCCTGACTAATGGAACCCCAGTTGTTTTCGAAGCCCCTCATATGAAGGGCAACAACCAGTATGATCAGACACGACAGAGCTATCAGTGCATAAACATAATTTATAAAAAAGCACATCACGATGCAGCCAGCCAAACCAAGGAGAGAGGTTAGAGATGAATAATACTTGAACATGGGTCTGAAATGTAAATATTAATATAAATTAGCCTACGTTTTTAATGATTATTTGATGATATAAATAAATTTTATGATTCAATGATGGTAACTTTAAATTACAGAAAAATTGCGTGTTCAATTCCTATTTCAGATGTTATGAAGAAGGGAAGCTTATTTGTAGGCGCCTAATTAAATGATTCGATGAGTTGGTTATGCAATACATTTCATTTTCGAAAAGTAAAATATTATTTTGGCAATGAAGTCCTATAACTTTCAACAACTTGGTTTTAAAGGTTATTTGTATATTTAAAATTTATTAATTTCAACTAACGATTCCTAATATGAACCTAATTAATCAAAAAATTTATTAAAGCTGATTTTGTGATATTATAAAACCATCAACCTAGTGCTTGTTTGCATGCCCTCGTCGGCTCTACAGATCGTTAATAGGACAAAAAAATTTGATTTTTTAAAACTTCTTTCAATCCAACAACGCGCCCCATTTCAAAGTAAAATTTTTTTATTTTTTCAGTTGAATAACATAATGTACATAGAATAGGCTATTAGATTGAAAATTATTATTCGATAACAAGCAAAGTGCTGTGTAGGTGATAACTAATGAAGGTTAGCCTAAGAAAAATACATTTCCTATAGTTAACTATGAAAAAAACGTGTTGCTTGAAGAAAATTAAATTTTCTTTTTTTTTCTAGGCTAAACTTGAGAACGCACGGGCTAGGTTTAATCAACAAAATTAACTTTAAAAAATATTAGACCCCCCGAACAATGAAAGGCTTTTTTCAAATAGCAGCCCGGCCACGCGAGTATGTCTAGTATGAAGACACAATGAAAAAAATTATCATAGATTTGAATAAACTGTCTGTGAAAAATAGTGAAGCGTGATAACACTGACCTAAAATTAGGAGCTGAAGTGAGTTCAAGTGCCAAGCAAGCCAGGTTGGTCATGGCATAAGCCAGCAGGAACATCTCAGAACACATGGGAGCAATGTTGTTCAACGATCCTATCAGTAGGACCAACTGAAGATGTTTTAAATAATCAATTATGAATGTTTCATATATTATGTTATTCATATCACAACACTTCAAATGTTATGCTAGACACGTTTTGAATCTGATTTATTCAAAATGCCTTTTTGCAATAAGGTGTCCTGAATCAACTTGAAATGCTGAAAAAAGAACTTTTCACAACAATCTTCTCTCAAATTTAAATTTAAATGAAACGAAAAAAATAAACTTTTCTATTAAATAACTTGGCATTCATTTCATTATTCAACTCGAAAACACACAAACGTTATTCATAAAATATTCCCTACCAGTCTCAATATCTTTCATTTCCTCATTAGCGCCACATCTCGCAGTTTTTGTTAATTTAAAAAAATCAGATTTCAGTCTACATACATTTTTTTTTATAACGAGAAAGGTACAGAGAGGTACGTTTAGATTTCTATAGCGATTTGGGGGAAGTTGAAATCATGAATGTAATTAAAATTTTTCGAAAAAAGTGATTAAAGTGAATAGGTGTGCCAGCTAAAAATAATGAAAACGAAAATTTATATGAATTTATAAAATTCTTTAAAATTGTTATTGGCTAGTTAAACTCATTCACATCGATGTCAATAAATATTTGAAAAAACAGCCAACGTAATAAAGTAAAAAGCTGAAACGAACCTGCGTGAGGAACCAGGAGATTAAAACTGCGACAACTGGATTTCCATTTTTGGTGGTCACACAGGCAGGCTTCAGCAGAATACCTAACAACAGAAATCAGCAGATTGACAAAATGAAGGAACTTTAAGAAATGGACTTACCATAAATGTTATCCTTAGCAAGAGCAAATAATATCCGTGACCCACCGATGAGGTTGCCGAGGGCAGCAGAGAGGGTGGCAGCAAACAGGCCGATGGCAACAAATGGAGACCACAAATTCACAGACAGTAGAAAATTATAATTACCGATTAACAATTCCCTGTTTTTGGTGTGCAAAATAAGGAATGATTCATTATAAACTGATTCAATACACATTAACGATTTGTGTTGAAAAATCAAAAACTTGTTCTAAATATGAAATTTCAAAAGTGTGTGCTTTTTTAAATGTAAGTTTCACGACGACAAAGAGTTCAGCAAATGCAGAAACAATTAAAAAGTGACAGTATTGGTTGTTTATTGTTTGATACCAGTAGCTCCACATTGCAGGTGTGAAAATGACGTGTCCATCGCATACGACAAGAAAAGCATTCAAAAACTCATGCAAGAATTGAACAAATCAAAATTAAAGATCCCAATAGAATGTTTTGTTGATAACAAACTAACTCTTTGTGACATGATAATTCAAAACTGCATTAACTTAATCAAAACATCTCTGTATACAAAAGCAACAAATAAATATTTGTGCCAAAATGTTGAAAGCGAATGACGCAAAGCATACTTCAATAGCTCCACAATCACACATTGTTGACAAAAGCCATCTTATACACTCGTTCATATGTACAGTCTGCAAGTGTAAATAACAAAACTCAAAATATATTGGAATGGCTACTATAAGACTAACCATGCCATAAAAAATCATTCTAAAGACAAACATGACGCTCCAACAGACTAATAAACGCAATTACAGGCCTGTTACTTTGAGTAGTGTTGTTTGTAAGCTGTTTGAATCATTTGTCAAGGATGCGTTGATAAAACATTTTGAAGATAAAAAATTGATGGATTACAGACAATATGGACTTACTAGGCAGAGGTCTACGGTGATACAACTTTTGAAAATTATGGTTATATGGACGGAGTTATTGGATGAAGGTGACAAAATTGATATAATTTATACTGATTTTGAAAAGGCGTTTGGCAAGGTATCACACAAAATGGTAATTAAAAAGTTGGCAACGTATGGGGTCAGTAATGGGCTGATTAGATGGATACAAAATTATTTAAAAAATAAAACTTTCTGTAAAAGTAGAAGATCGTCTGTCAGAAAAATATCAGATTACCAGTGGTGTTCCACAGGGGAGTGTTCTTGGCCCTATGCTTTCCATTGTTTATGTTAACAATATGTTCATTGTTTTAAATGGAGACAATGATATAAACCTGTTTCTTTATGCAGATGACGCTAAAGTGTTTAAACCTATAAAGAAAGAAGAGGATGTGATTAGCTCGCAGGGATGTTTAGACAGAATTGTTGATTGGTGTAATGTTTGGAAGGTTAGTATTAACAACATAGATAAGTGTGTTGTTATGAGACTAGATTACGGTATTCATAATAAATACCTAGAAAGCAAAGAAAAAGTACGGGATTTGGGTGTTTCATTTGATAGTAAATTGAAATTTACAACCCAAATATATGAATCAATTAACAAAGCAAATGCGATTCTAGGCATAATATACAAAAATTTTCGTAATTAAAACAAATTTTCTTTCTTACAGTTGTACAAGGGTTTAGTCAGACCAAACTTGGAATATGCAGTAAGTGTCTGGAGACCGTGGACCATAAAAGAAATAAAAGATATCGAAAGGGTCCAGAAGAGGGCCACGAAAATGGTAAAGAATTGTTCCAATTTAAAGTATGCGGAAAGACTGAAATATCTCGATCTGCCCACATTGAGATACCGTAGAAATAGAGGAGATATGATTCTACCTTTTAATATGTTGAAGAGTGAATCTGATGCTGGTCATCCTGTCATTGAAAAGGTGATTGACAACAGAACAAGAGGCCATAAATTAAAGCTCAAAGTTAAAACCTTCAATAAAAATCTAAGAAAGTATTATTTTACAAATCGAGTCATTAGATCGTGGAATGACCTTCCTGAAGATGTGGAGTGCTCTTGTAACATTGTAGAATTTAAAAAGAATGTGGACAATCATTGGTTTAACATCCCTTGGAAATTTGAATATGATTGTTATAAATGGTAAACAGTAAATGTTTGCCAGACGTTATATGTTTGTTTAATTTATTATTCAACAACTGAAAAATGATTGCCATTATTACTTCATTATTTTGTTTGTGGTTATTTATTATCATTAACAAAATAATGTATATTTTTATTTCAATATATATTATAATATCGTTATTTCACTGAAGTTTTCTTTTATTTATTGTTTTATTTATTTAAATGGTTATGTATCTATTTGTTACACTTCATGTTACGATTGTGTCTATACATATTGTATGTATGATGTGATGGGGTGTACACATATGTATCTGTGATGGATTGTTTTATTATAGAATTTCTATTTAGGTATATTTATTTACTATTTATTTAATTTTATGTGTAAGTATGTGTGACTATTTTGTGTATAGACAAGAATGTGTATAAGCAAATGAGTGTTTGGATGTATGTGTGAACTAAATATATTTATATTGTCAGGTTAATATATAGTTATTGACATTTAGTGGTTATTACTATACTTTGTGTGATATTTTTAATGAACATGAAAGTATTTATATGTGTTTACAGTGTGTATAGACGTCTGGGTAGGAGTGCTTTATTAAGATTATTTATTATCAGTATTGTTTTATTATATGTATGCATGTATTATAGATATATATATATATATCTATACACGCTATCGATTATTTATGTAAACTAGAACATACATGAAACACGCAAGAATTTCCTTTATGAACTCAATAAACTTGGAAAAATAACATGAAATTATGCCAGAAAAAATGAAGTGCTTAGTTATAAACAAAATGATGTAGACAAACGTTGTGATATATATTATATTTATACACAAACGTACATACAAACATACATATATAAATACACATACACAAAGAAATTAATAAATTATTACTCATATAAATGAAAATATTGAAAAGTCCTACGGCAAATAAATTGATAGTTATTAATTAAATTATTCAACAGTAACTAATCATTCAAATAATGGGAACCAACTTGGAAGCAGTGGCTGAACAAAGAAGCAAAATAATGATGAAAGTACTCAAGGTGAAGAGGGCAGCACCAATTGTCCCTCGTGGAATTGCTTTACTTGGATTCTTTAGCTCGCCTGTTGTACAATAATACAGCGAACTGATCATATCAATTGTATTTTGAATGATGACGTCTACACACGACATAAAAATAAATTTCTAATTGAAGTGGCTTTGTTCACTGTGCAAAAATAACAAAACAATAAGACACCTGACATGTTGGCTCCATTCATGATTCCAGTGACACTGCTGAATAAAACTGCAAAAACAACTGCAAAGTTCATCTGCTTGCCTGTACTATAATCTTCAACATACGAGCCTGCAGATTTATATTTAAATTCACATTTTTGTAGTCTAATTATAAATAACCTCTAATCCTAAAATCAAAAATCTTTCAGTTATTATAAATGACACAACCATAAATACGAAATAAAAAAACATTTAACACAGCAACTTATAATGGATCGTTGCAAAAGAGTTCAGACCTAGAACCCTGACATGTAACTAGGCCAGTTTAAGTATCGAAAAATTACTTTAAACACTTTTTATAAACGCAAATTTTTATGTGAACAGAACATACGACTGACTCTCAAGATTTTCTTTGAATGTTGCTGAACTGAGTCCAGTATATGGAGCAGTGTTTGGTGTACAATTTGGATACAGTGTCCCTTCATCAAGGGCCCACGTTGATTTGTTGTTCCCCGTTGGGTACTGCACGCACATACCACCCTTTGCAAGCATGCTAATTATCACAGATGAGCCACATATAATCACAATCTGATAAAGTTGGGTTTTCATTTGTGATGAAATTTAAAGATTTTTGTCACATTTTATTTTACCGATTTAAACAATAGTTACCAGAAAGGTGAAGACATTAGTTTTACCATAAAGATGACCTCCGATAAGGCAAATAGTCAAACATATGAGCAGTGACAAAGATGAATACAAGTAGTTCCACCAATATGACACTGGCAAGCCCTGTCCTCCCACTGCAATCAGGGTACCTATATATTTAGTAACCATGTGTTGGAATAACATATTTGCATTATGAGCTATTAGTGACAAAAGATGAAAAACGTTTCACATATAAAATACCGTTATGTCCGAAGTTGGCAGTTAGTGCTTCAACGAGACCAGAAGTGTAAAGGCCACAGCTGACTACCTGAGCTAAAAAAAATAAAAAACCAATACCTCCTCCAAACTCTGGGCCCAAGGCTCTGCTGATCATAACTGCAGTTTTATATGGCTGAGTTATTGAAAGTCAACTTTTAATATGACACTTAAAAAAACAATAATAATAAAAAATATAAAATAAGAACAAAAATACAAAAGATGACAAAAGATGTCAAAAAGACAGCAAAAGACACAAATAGACACCAAAAGACACAAAAAGGCATCAAAAGACACAAAAAGACATCAAAAGATACAGTATGCTCCTCCCCCCTCAATGGCTCCATTCGTTGAAACAGCACAAATAGATAAAATGGTCAAAATCATTATGAGATAAGCCAACATGAACATCAACAAAGCTTCTATTAATCCTGCTTGCCCTAAAACAAATCCTATAAATGGTGAAGTAAATTATCAGAAAAAAAGACATCATTTATTTATATTTTTTAAAAATCAGAAAAAATATTTGAGAAGTGGTGGTTCATCTTAAATTAAATTTAATTCAAGCAAACAAATTGTAAGACTTTTTCAAGACATAAGTAACCAAAAAATGATAACCTAATTAGAAGCAAGAATAATTTCAAAAAACCTAATCTAAGGAAAAGTAATGTACTGAACATAGCCATGGCTACTGGACAAAATACACCAGCAAATGTTCCTAGAGTTTGTTTGGATCTAACATTCTTGTTCAGTAACATCTGAACTTCTGAATGCTGCTTGAACATTATTTAATACAACTAATACCCACAGTTATTTAAGTTTAAATGGACTAATTTTGATTACAAATGCATTTTATAAAAGTACAAACAAATGAAAATAAATATTAAGTAAACAGAAATAGAAATGATCAGAAAACTGACTGGAGCACAAGTTTGAAAAGTCGGATTGCCTGCCTCATCATCACAGAGCTGCAGAGACGAGGAACTCATCAACAAATGATGATCCTCCTCCACCGAAGAAGCAACATCCAAAAGTTGTGATACATCGCTTGTCGATGACATTTTTCTAATGACACTTTTTGTTGTAAATATGAATATTCCCTCTGCATTCATTTAAATGTAGTGTGTTTGCAATTCAATTGAAGTATAATGAAATGATAACAGAAGCATAATAAAAGCTTCATATAAGATGGGATAAACCAAATAAAAATGATTTTTGAATTAGAGAACTATAATAAGTTAAATAAATCTTAAACATAAAAATAAAAATTTACTTAAAAAACTTAAAAAACAATTTCAGCAATGATAAAATTACTAAACTTAATTTTTTAATAATATATGTAATCATGTAATCCATTGATGTAATTCCTACCACAATATATATCTGATAACATCCTATTCATACAGAGGAATAATTTTTGAGGTTATAAATAACAATTCAAATTTGTCATCTTAAATTAAATTTGCTAAGTGAGTCTTACTTCACTGTAATAATTACTAATGGCCACATTATCTCACAGCATCTCACCATATTACATTGTGTCATTTATAATATTATATCATCATATTATATTATATTTCATATAAATGTTTTGAATAGAGAGTAAAAGAAAGATACCAGAACCACAAATCAGTTATAGCAATGAATATATCTATGATACAGATAATCGTATGAACATAAATTATAATATAAATAAATATAACGTTTCACTAATAAATGTTATAATTATATTAAAATAATGTATATATGACTAGAAAAATCAATGCAGATTCTGGTTTAAAAGGTAATGATTTTTTAAATTTATTTTAATTTTATTATGACTGCATTTATTTATATTTTATTTAGTGCACTTTGTTACTTGTTTTCTCGAATGAAATAAAGAAACGATTCCAAAAATCAATGCTTTTAATTACTTAAATACTTAGTAACATTACTCTTTTACAGCTTATATCTAATTTTATAGTTTAACACTTTTAACAGTTTATTTTATAGTTTACACAAGAGTCTTGTGACAAGACATAAATAAACTTAAACATAAAACCAAATATAATCTTACAATCAATGTCATTACATTACATACATTACCAACTGACTTTATTTAACTAACTTGGAAAAAAACCAAAAAATCAATTTGAACATTAAATTAAATCATAAAATATAATAAAATGATTATCACTAAAAATAAAATGAACCAGACTAACAAATAGACAGTAAAAAATGTAAGAACAAAGTAAAACGATTCACTTGCAATTTAATTTAATAATTTAAACAAAAATATCCATTAAAATCAAAAGAAAGTTTGATTTGATAAAAATAAAAAAGTGAGTCAGGCAACTGACTTCAAGCACAAGCAGTCAGGCAAAAAATGAGATGTAGTGTTGTTGAAGTGTAGTGTGCCTCAGGTCTGGAAAAGTTCATCATAAAATCCATTGCATTTTTAACTTTTATTAAGAAAACAAAAATATATATATAATCTATTTCTTGGACAATGACTACCCGAAAAAACGTAATGAGTGGGAAAACGCCTTTTCTTGTTAAATTTACTTTTAATCCACCCAGTCAGTAAAGTTTGTATATAGACAAAGATATTAGAATGTAATTACGTTCTAATATCTATGTATTTTGTAACCAAACATATATATACATAATCTATTTATTTATTTATTTAAGAGAAACGGCTTGGGCGAACCCCTTGCCAACAGTTAAAATGATCGAAGTCTCGAATAATTTAGAATCATCATAACAAAGTTCAAACTTAATCGATAAAGTCCTTTCTTGTAAAAAACGTTGAAATTAAATTAATAACAAAAGACATTCAAATAAACATAAAATTTCAAATTTGTGAAAAATTATTCAAATTTAAAACGATAAATAGTTCAAATGATAAATTCAAATTAAAATTCAACAAAATCAAAACCACCAAAATATAAAATAAACTTTAAAAAAATAGTTGAAACCAGCAGATATAATTGGTTTTTTTTACAGTATTTTATATTTGTTTCAAAACATACTGAGCAATTATTTCACATTGTTTTGCACTGCTTGTTGTTCTTGGCTTCTCAAAAGATAACGGCGACTTTTTTGCTGCGTCTCAAATATGCAAATTTTATAGATGGAAAATTTCATAACAGAAATAATAAAAGAAACGTTTCTACATCTTCTGCATTGCCAATTGTTTGAATTGAATGAACGTAATATCTCTATCCTTTAAGTAAAGTTTTCAACACTGCTGCTCGTCTAGTTGCTCTTGCCCCTATCTCTTCTCATGTATCTCCATTCCTTGTTTCTTAGCATTGTCTAACTATAAAATACAAAATAATTTTTCAAATATACATATATATGTATTAAATCTAGCAATAGCATTGAAATTTTCAATTTAACCCAAATAAAACTGAATTTATCATTAAGCTCTTACCGTTTAATTAATGCACTACTTGTTTTCAATTCAACTGCAGTTCCTATATCAAATACACTAAAAACGCTTGGAGTAATCTTAAATAAAAAAGACGCAAACTGCAAACACTGCAATATTTTGAATAGAAACTACAAAAAAAAAAAATAAAAAATTAGACTGTCTTATGACCAAGGACAGAAAAATAGTACACATAACACGAGGAATGTTTGCATCTTGAAATGAAAAAGTGGTAATGAATCCACCAAACGATGTACGTATAAATGAAATTATAAAAACACGTGTGTTCCCTACGCTGCTGTACGTATAAGCATGCAAATCAGAACATTAAAAAAGAGAGACAAAGACAGATTGAAGACATTTGAAATGGAATGTACAAAAAAAACTTAGAATCCGCTAGAGACAGATTATAAGAAGTGTTAAAATTTCTGTACAAAAGATCATTAACGAGTTTCCTGATGGGTTTTGTTCTGTACTAATAATAGAAAAAACCTGGAAACGCTAAAAATCTATGTAAGTTGTACGGGGCGAATGAAAGTACTTTGATGTTACGGGATGTCAAAACCACTAGTATCAATTAATTAATTTATTCATCATATTTGTTAGGTCACTGTCGCTGAAGATGAGTTTGAATGAAAAACTTTATATTAACCGTTTTATATGAAATACTGAGAGTGAAAAAACTGTTAATTTTTTTAAATTAACAAAAATTGTTCTAAAAGACCTAAAAAAAATAAAATAAATACTTCAATTATTTTTTTCAAAGTTATTACTAAGGAAATTATTCAAACAAATCAAAAAACCTATTTTACTTATATAGATAGCTCTTGAATGGAAACAATATATGTGATGAACTTGCTGAGAACATGCACCATCAAGACGATATATAAATTTCAATTCCGAGCGGATTTGCTGAGTTCATAATCAATTTATTCTTTTTCCAAGAGCTATAAATCTTACGTAAAACACATTAACGCCTCTTTCCCTATGAAAAACTGTTGAAGCATACGCTTGTATTAACGAATACACGAGAAACTGAGCAATGCCATGGCGTAATAACTCTTCATACTTTCCATTATTTATGTCAAACTATCTATCGCAACACGCTTTTTGTCTAAATATTATTAAAAACGCTCTTTTGAAGGCGCAGAATATTTTATACCTTAGTAGAATACATCTTTACAACCGTTGATTTAAAATGTAATAGTTAAATAACAAAAAATAATCAATTCATTAATGAAATAAATGTAATGTTGAATAGTCTATTGTTTTGCATTATAGCGAATATGAAATGGATTTTTCTGTAGCAGAACTTAATTATTATAGCGTATAAAAGTGGACAAAAAATCATGCCTTGCGCTATAATATTTTATCAAATAGACTGATAGGGCAGTTGATTTTACTTTCATACATTCATTTCTTTACCTTTAAAAGCTATAAACTTTGTGAACGGGAAAAAAACTAAAAATGGACTAAAATTTAGGAGTTGCTCGGAGGATGAGAGGTACATAAAATAACTAAATATCTTTCCTTATGCAGAGTTTTAGTGTCTTTTATTTTTTCGTAGTGTCGAATAAGCATCGCAAAATTTCAAAAAAGATTTGTTAGAATATTTTATAAACTCAAATTCAGAGATCATGTTACTCATCTATTTCTAGTGATTAAGATTTTGACAATAAAACAACTCTTCGCATACATATTATGCCTCTTTTTTGTTTTTAAATTTCTTTGCAACAAACTACCAGTATATTTTAAAAATTGCCTAAGCTTAACATGTGACTTGAATATCAGAACAACACGTCATTTAAAAAAATTTTACATCCACCCACAGAAATCTTTTATGTTTCAGTCAAGTCTGGACCTAAGCTGTGAGACAATACCATTCCATGCAACATAAAGAACATTGCTAACCTTGTTTTGTTTAGGAAAAAGTTATTCGAGTTTTTATTAACAATTGACCCATCATAATATCATATAAAAAATATATGGTTCGATTTTGTTATTATATTAATTTAATTTCATATGTCGAAATAATCGTTTATTTTGTTGCCACGTTTTGTTTCGATTTACTCTTTAAATCTTATTTCACTGTTTTGGTTGCATTTTTTTGAATGGACGCATAATAACTAATTATTATTTAACATAATAGTTCTAACGTTCATATTATTTTCCTCTTCACATTTTTCTCTTTACTGAACTGAGACGGGTGGCCTATACAAGTTAATTTTCTTATTTAGTCTCCGAAGACCATTAATTGCTATTTTTTTGTGCAGTTTTTCGGTTTTGAATAAATAAATCAAATCAAATTAAAATCAAGCAGACGACGAAATCGTAGCACTGTTGTTAGTTGTTACCAGGTGGCGGGCGTTGTATGTTGCATTCATTAAGCCGTCACGAAATATGAGTGAATGTTGAAAAAGAAATAACGTAGAGGAAAGAAGCGGGCGGGTTGTATTTTCAGCTAACAACAACAACACACAACAGCATCTGTTTTACTAAACGTTATAGTATTTTAACAAATGACGATCACTGAATTAACACAAATGTTTGCAATCATGTTTAAGGAACAAGAAAGATAATGAGTGTGCAGATGAACGAAACAATCAATGGAGTCATTATTGATTATCTATTAATTGTAGTTGGAATAATTTCAGCTCAACGCCAATAAATGCCCCAGCGGCCTAACAATATTTAAATGCTAATAAGAATTATTACCATTCATACACTAAACCACAAGCTTTTATTCAAAATTTGTTACATATAGAAATTGGATTGAGACTTTTATGAATAAATGAATGAATGAATGAATGAATGAATAAATAAAAATGAACAAATGAATAAACAAATACGTGAAATGAAATAAAATAAATCTACGAAACATAATTGATACAACTTTGATATTATAACTATTGCAATTATATTTTTATTGTTAATTAAATTTATAATTCTTAAAAAATTGTTGGTGAAGCTTATATAATTCAAAGACGTTTTATTAATTAATAGAGGAAAAGATGTTTCCAAAAAATTGTCATTTTCAGTGTAATATATAGTATAGAAGTTATTAGTGTATATGTAAGTGCCCTTTAAAAAATCTCAAAGGCGCTAACGATTATAAACTTACCTTGCTTAGTTCTTTATTAAAGCAAATCATTAGAACGATTAAGCTTGGACAAAAAAAAATGGTGTTTCAACTTTCCACAAAATTAAATAACAGAAAACGCAGAATCACAAAGATTCTTAGGCAAATCATCCCAAACAGCAAGACACATTACGGAGAAATTCCTACGACCAATGGCCAAGTTTGTATCAGACACAAATAGTAAACCCGAATGGTCAGAGCGCAAAGTTTGACTCAGCAGTGGCATTGTTCTAGGAATGATTCTGTCAGTTAAATACTTAGGGGCGGCTCTTTATATACATTTAAAAACTGTTGAACATATCTTAAAAATAACTCTTTGATGAATCGAAAGCCAGTGAAACAGCGAAAAGAATTGGTTTAACTTTTGAGTTGACTGGCCGTAATATAGACATTAGGTATATATAGTAAATAAGAACGACCTCAATAAATTTTTCAAAAAATAATTGTAACAACACCTTAATGAATGATGAAAAAGATTTTCTCAATGAAGGTTTGAACTGCCATTACATCTAAAATCGTATAATGAAGAATAAAGAACTAAATTAAAAAAAGTTAATGAATAACTTAATTTGGTTGCATTCTAACCAAACCATAAACCCTACATACACTTGGGCACTCATACTGATATTTTAGACAAAATGCGACAACCATTTAACAACTGAATTAACAACTAACCAGTGTGAATCACTTGTAAACAAATTTCAGCTATGGTTAAAATAAAGCGAGTGGACGACTTGTTAGCTTTTCCAATTACTACATGTTCGTCGTTCGTCAGATTCTTCAATCAATCAATCAATCAATTAGTATGTAAAGCGCTATTTCTGCGATGTTTAACAGAGCTCCTCAATGAATTTTGCCAACAGATGGGTCTTGAGATTTGCTCTGAATTTTGTAAGTGATGAAGAAGTAGTCAGAGAAGTAGGTAGAGAGTTCCAGAGAAAAGGGTCAGAAAAAGCAAATGCAGGTTTAGCAAGAGTGTTTAACACGAATTAACAAGAAGTGTCAACAAGAAGACAATCTTAAACCGGGGCGTTTAGGTTCAATTAATATATCTGATAAGTACTTAGGAAATAGTTTAGATTCAGATTTAAACATTAATGTGCAAATTTTAAATATTCTTTTATATTTTATCAGTAACCAGTGCAAGAGAACGAGATATGTGAGAAAAGAACACACGGGCAGTTAATAAATATTTTATTACAATTTTTCTTTTTAAAGATCTTCTATCTTGTCCGTTAACAGATTTTTGTCATAAAATTTATTTTATTTTTTCTTCATGATATACTTAAAATCTTAATCGTACTTTAACTTTACTTATTGTTACTAATATTTTTCTATAATCATAATTCTTATTTTCCACATTTCAGATCTTGCGTGTTGTTACATTGTCTGCTTTTGACAGAGTTTGATTTACAGAATAAAAAAATTAAATAAAAATTAGCGAAATGTTTAGATTTTAGCCGAAATAAGTTATTCATCCACTGAACCATTGTTCAGTGACTGCACTCAATTCATTGTACTTCATAATATGTGTATGTGAATCAATGTTATATATATATGTGCGTGCGTGTTTGGGACTGTGCGCAAAAGATTGTTGTATATTGTACGTACGTATATGCATATTAGTGGATGCGCCTATATTTGTCTTAAATTTTTATCTCGCGAAAGAACATGCGAATTGTGTGTTTCTATACTTGTAAGACTACTGTTCATTTGTCAATCTGATAAAAATTGTTTTTTTAACAAATTTTTACACAATCTGGATGAAATTGTTATAAAACATCAAATGTTAAAAAAGGAAACGAATGGAACAAATAGCCAAACAAATGGATGGACTAGTTAATGTTCGTAAATATTTGAACACTATGTTATCAATATTCAATTTCCTAATTACATTTTTCGCCTTTGTTTGGTCGGAACCAATAACAGGTTAGAACTATATTATATTTTTTGAATTTTTAAATAAATTCTTTCAAAAGTACCCGTAATTACCCAACATTTTTATTAGGAATTATTTTTTGAGATCATCGGTAAGTCATCTTAAAATAAATTGTTAAAATCGTATCGTCAATACTGTTTGTTCATAAAAGCCTAAATTTGTTGTGTAATTGCATACAAAATTATTTACATTTTTTACCATAATTAATTAAAAAGTTTATGAACATACAAATAATATTAATTTATTTATTCAACGCACGGAAAATAATGCATTCTTACATTCATTTTACACTTGCTTAAACTCGTTCATTTGACACTTTGTGATACTTGCATCCATACAAACATGCATGCACCCAAAAAATTTTTTATTCAAAACATTGTTCCATTTGCTTTTCAGCATCAGATACAAATAAATGATCACACACTTTTCAGATTAAAACATTTTTCTGCCGTGTAGTTTTTCTAAACAATGTATAATTTGATTGGCGTTGATGGCCCGATGTCATTACCACCGTTCAGACTGAATTTGTTTGTTTATTAAAAATCTTACAAATTATTTTATATGTATTTATTTATAAAGCAAGATTTGTAAATTTTGTTATAAAAATTATTTTACCTTTGATTTTGTGTCTGAAATTTTTGGATCTCGGCTTATAATATTGAATATGTTAATGTTAAAATACGCCATGTTCGTTTTTCCTTTTTCAATTGTTTTAATTCACTACCAAAAATAAAATTTTTTCATCATTAAAAATAAATTTTTTTATTTAATTTTTTTCACACAAAAAGGTCTGACACAAAAAAACTAATTGATAGAAATGTGATGAACTAATCAAAAAGAAATTAAAAAAATTAGTTCCTTTTTTTTATTTGGTGAATTTACCGCGTTTAATTTTTCTATGCTGCCGGTAACAATCCTATTAATTACACAAATGACGCTGAAATAATTGTTGCAGGACAAAAATTGTGGAGGTAGGTTACAAAGAAATCAATGGCTGGATACAACTGAACAATAAAAACAGGACTTGACTGACAACGTAACTTAGTATGATGTGTTATAGAAACTTAGAATTAAAATTAATTGACAATTTCGCAGTCAAACTTACTCGTTAAACAAGAATTCGAAACACAATGTCTAGCATCTCAGTTCCTCTGGCTGTGTAGTTGCAACTGGCACCTGTCCCACACTTGACAGGCACATTCGTGATGTACCGTCTCACGGGAACGTATGATGGCGATTTTCGAGGCATTCAAGAAAACAAAATTTAAAAAGAGATAGAACCCATTTATTTGAAATTTAACTAAAATTAGAAAATTACATGGGGCAAAATATGATTACATATTGTTTTGTGTTTGAATATAAACTTATTATCATGCAGTTTTAAACAAGATATTTGACGTGGACAAATTGCAAAAGCAAAATTAAACAAAAATAACTAATTTGGTTCATTGTTTTATGTTATGGGTGTGGCTACATCAATTGAACATGAGTAATTGCTCGGTTTAGGTGACAACGTCATGGAAAGAATAGTGTTAAAAATCTCGCACGATAATAAAGATTGAATGTTGACTGCCCAACACTGTTTTTGTATCTGAACCAAAATTAGTTCTTTTTTATGTATTTCCACCTGCTGAATCCGAAAATGACATTAAAAATTACATATTAGCTCTAGTTCAAGAGATAAAAGCAAAACTCTATCCTCAAGAGTATAAATTTTTAATTTTTAGAAATTTTTTTTTAAATTTTTTTTTGCCTCTTGGCTATCTATAATGTTTTATTTATGAAGGCACAAATAAAATAGAAAAAGTAAAAACTTTTCACAGCAAATGATTCAGATTTTGTGTTAACAGATGATGCACCACACAGATTGAGTCAAGCAGAATTAAGTGACCTCGTTCGAGATCTTGACTTGTCACAGGAAAAGGCAGAACTTTTATGGTCTAGATAAAAACAGTGGAATCTTCTCCAATCTGATGTCAAAGTTTCTTATTTCAGGAAACGGCAACAAAATCTTTTTCGTTTTTTGAGAAGAAAAATAACCTTGTTGTTTGTTGTTTGCGTTAATATCAATGGACTAATGTATTGTCTCAATTTGAACTATGATCCAACTGAATGGAGATTATTCATAGATTCATTAAAGCTAAGCTTGAAAGCTGTATTACTGCACAATGGAAATCATTTTCCATCAGTTCTTATTGGCCATGCAGCTCACATGAAAGAAACGTACCTAAATATAAAAACTCTTCTTAACTCAATCAATTATAACGAACACAAATGGAAAATTTGTGGTGATCTAAAAGTATTCCTAAAAGTATTGCCATACTTTTAAGAATGCAATTAGACTATACCAAATACCGCTGCTTCTTGTGTATGTGAGACAGTAGAGACAAAATTTCACATTACACAAAAAAGGACTGGCCTTCAAGAAATCTCAATAAAGATGAAAAAAATGTTGTTGCTGAACTACTCGTAGATCTAGAAGATGTACTTCTTCAATCCTTACACATTAAGCTGGGTTTAATGAAAAATTCTGCCAAAGGTATAAACAAAGAAAGACAGGTTTTTAAGTATTTAGAAAACAAATTTCTAAAACAAAGTGATGCAAAAGTTAAAGAGGATATTTTTGTTGGACCATAGATACGGAACTTGTGAAAGATCCTGCATTTGATGAAGTTTTGAAGGGGCAAAAAAAAGAAACTTGGGAATCTTTCAAGGGAGTGATTTGTGGATTTTTAGGCAACAGAAGAGATGATAACTACATCCAATTGGTAACAGTATTTTTGCAAAAATGCCATCAACTAAGATGTAACATGTCCTTGAAGATTCACTTCCTCCACTCACATTTAGACTTCTTTTCCCTTTATGGAGCTGTTAGTGATAAACATAGAGAAAGGTCCCACCAAAATATTTCCGTAATGGAAAAAAGATATCAGGGTCGTTTGAAGGAAGCTATGCTTGCAGATTACTGTTGTTTATATGTAGGGATGCTCCAGAGCTAGCATACAGGCGAAAAGCAAAAAGAGCACAATCGCGTGAAAATATTCCATAATGATCTTTATAATTATTAGCTTTCATTGCTTAAAACTGTTAAAATGTGATCTTTATTGAAAAAACTAAATGAACTTTAAATATTATTAAAATAAGTAAATTATATGTCACTGCTATTTTGTGAATAAACAAAACCAAAAAATGTTTGTTGCTGTATATCTCAGAAACTAGAGCTAATAAAAAATTTTCGTTTGCATTTTCGCTTTTCTTACCCGATAATTAGAATAATTTGACTAAAAAAGTTATGGATACAAAAAAAAATATTTTTTTGTTGTCTAGTGAACGTTTAACGCAGGGTGTTCCAAACTTTTTTGGACGGTGAATTGACTGGACGGTGAATTGACTAGACGGTGAATTAACTGGACGTTGAAACGAGAATGAACTGACAGAACGAGGAACCGAATGGATGATAAACAACAACGCGCAGACATGAGTGAAGAGAGCCAAGCGTGTTTGCTTCTTCTTTTAACACTATAAATAATTGATAGTACGAATAGCATGCAACATTTTAAAGTTCGTTGAACATATTTTCTTCTGTTAATTTTAAACGATTGCAATTTTTCTTAAATGAATTTTTTCATGATTGGAGAATTTTCAAAAGTTCACGTTTAAAATATATTAGGATGATTGTGTACTATTGCACACAGTGTTGTTGAGCTTTTCGGTTCATATTATTCATTGGTAATAATAAATAATAATAAATAACCCAATAAAAAAAATAACGTTTTTCCGAAGATAATATTTTATCAATATATAGATGAATAATGGTTTGTTAACAAGCGATGTTCAATTATTTTATGAAAAAGTTGCCAAATGTAATTATCAGCAGTTTAAAAAAAATATCGTCACATGATATTTTTGAAAGTTTGTACTTTTGTGCTAAAATTGTTAAATAACGTTAAAATCTGATTATTTAAAATTGAAGTATTTTTTTTTACAATTCGTATTTTTAAATAGTTTTTACGTCATGAGAAATTATCTTAACGTGAATCAGAGGTCTAGACGGGCTGCAGTGATTTGTTGATAACTTATGAAAAATTTTTCAATAGTTCTGGTCTCTAAAAAACAGAGCCTTAGAGTCAAATAACAATTTTTTCGATTCCGTGACAAAAATTTTCGATTTTATCTTTCTGGTTATAAACTTTTTGAAATAATTATAAAATCAGATTTGAGATGAGTATTAGAAAAGTTATAAACTTTTTAAAATCAGTCATCTACAATTAAATTTTGCCACTACATTGTGTTTGCCCCAGCTGTTATTGAAAAATATAATTGCGGGGAAGTGTTGAGACAACATGTTTAACAATTGAATCGTATACTTTGGATAGTTTATTCCATATGCAACATAAGCTCTGAACCACGTTCACAGATTAATTCCCTATCGATCAATAAAACAAAACTCTACCATCCCCCGGTTAACTGCACGGTTCTTCTTCTGTAGTAGTAGTACACACCTCACGGTGGAATTTTATGAACTGTAAACATGCAGCTGGCACGCCCAACCTCCATGCAATCGTTTGTTATATACATTGTATATAAAGTAATGTGATAATATAAATTTATAATTTTAACTCGAGTACGTATTATACTATTTGATGACCCAAAAAGAGTCTGTCTATAAATCAACAACGGCTTGTTCAATATTATGCAAGTTGTTTCCTTTCATCAGCATAATTATGGTTACTAGGAGCCCGCTTTATAAAGTGCCATTCATTTGAAATGGCCAATAATGCCACTTGAAAAAAACTGCTCTGCAATCGTTTAAAAGCCTTTAGTGCACCAATGCGTTCACTGTCCGAACACAAAGTTATGGTTGTGATAACGTTTACAATAATGCCGTAGGAATTTTTTTTTTAAAGTATTTCAACTCGTCTTACTAAGTTATTAGGCCTTAACTTTTCAAGTCATGGTTTGTCCGTCGAACTGGCTGCTAGATTCGGAGATTTGATCAACAATATATATTAGAAAAAAGATAACAGGGTTGCCAACCCACCGCACAAAGGTGCAATTCCGCAAAATTATGACACTTCATTTGAAAATGTCAGTGGAAAGGACCATCTTTTTTTGCGTTCAGGCAGTTTGGACTATTTTTCAGTTCTATCGACTCAGCACTTCTGCTTGCTTGGCTCTAGAGTCTGTAACAACCTTCTTAAAGACTTTTAGGACCTGACTCTAAGTGTTATCAAGTTCAACATTTTTATTCACGCTATAATAATGAACAACAATGTTAATTAACTACTGATTTATGTAACGTTTCGATTGATTTGGTTTTTAGGTGATTGACAACTGTTGTTTTTTGTTTGTTTTTACTACTGTATGTGTTTCTGAAAAACTAAAAATTTATATAGCGCTGTATAAATATTATTGCATTAATCCAACAGACAAAAAAAATCCATTCTATAATGCCGTAATTGGAAATTTTAAATTTCAGAATCTGATTAAAAGTGAAAAATTTTAAATTTAAGGGACCAAGAAACTTTCAAATGAACTCTTACAACTTACACCGAATGCAGAGAAGAACATAAATTTGTTATAAGACTGGCTCTGCATCTTTGCATTGATGTACTTAGTCTCCTAAATTCGTTACAAACAATTCTTAATAATTTTTATTGAAGCAAGAAGTATTTGCGTCATAAGTTGGACTCGTAGCGCTATAAAAATCTGAGAACGCAAATTTATTATATTAATCTAATGATATAACTTCAAATGATTTAAATGGGTTGTGTTCACTTATAATGTTTTTTCAAAAATTTCCGCTTTTTTTAAACCAATTAATTAATATCAATAGAATCAGAGGTTTCAACGATATTAATTAAAATATCGATTTAGGTCTTTTATCTACATGGCATCACAGAATTTGTCTTTGCTACAAACATCATCACAACAATCATCATCATCATCATCATTACGACAATCGTCATCACCGTCATGATCGCAATAGTTTTTACAAAGACATAAGCTACATATCATCGTGGCAAGCATTATCGTCTCGTCATTGGCAGCAAGTGCGCCTGTATTGATGAATTCCATCATGTCAAACTACTTCCAACTGGTCGCCAATCTTTCGTTGCGCAGACAAAATCGATGAATATTTTGAGTTCATTTCATAATTGGTTGTTTGCATTGAAAAGTACTTGCAACTTAAACAAACAGGTCTACAGACTGTGAGGCTTACCTACAATTATTTATAATCATTATATTTATCAAAAACTTCGTTTTTCTTGATTTGGTTTAAATCTAAATGTAAATATTGCATAAAATAGATATGTAGTGATTTATGTTTATTCATTATAGATTTTTTTTATCCATCTACAAAAGAACAAACACTGGTTTGACAGTCAGGCTGGTGAATTGGATGGTTGGCAGTGGCATACGACACCGAAATTTCAGACAAAACATAAAACCAAAGTTTTGACGATGTGAATATTACAATTAATAGAGCTACTCTATTAAAAAAATTTAGTGCCAACTTCACAAAATTATTTTTCCATTTCTATAAAAAATTGCTATCTATAATAATCAATTATTATATTAGAATAAAATACCTAACAGCCTAAGTTTTTAAAATCAACAGGTTTTCAATTTTCGCTCTTTTGAAAAAGTGTCTTTCTCTTAGAAGGAAAAAAAGGATAAACTTTTTCAAATATTCATAGCAGACGACAGAGCATAAAATGAATTTGAGCAGAAAACGGAACAGGTCATTAGAAATGACGCTATGGTATAAACAGTTCTCAAAATATCGGATGCACACAAAAATATTTGCTTCTCCATAAAGCGTGTATTTACATTTTTTGATTCTTTTTCTTATCCTCCCATTTTGTTGCATTCTCGAAAGATGGCTGACGATGTGGTTCTGGACAGTTTTTTATGTTGTGTGTGTAATTCAGAGGGTTCTAGAGACAGAGTTTTGCTTTATAATGCCGTAATTGAAAGTTCTAAGATTCGATTCAAATTATGCAAAATGCTAATGCAGGAAGCTCTGATTTTTATTTGATTTTCCAAATATTCCCAAAAACAAAAAAAGGCGCGAATTAATTTAAAAATGAAATACTGGAACAAAAAATAATTAAATGATTAATTATTTATTAACACATACTAAATCGGATAGAAGATGGCCATGAATTTGCCTTAAACTAAATTTTCACCAGTCAACTCTTAAAAGTTTTACGTAGCCCGTACTAGTGGTTCATGAAAAAATTGAAGTTTTTTGAAGTTTTATTACGGCAAACACAAGTTGTCCGTGTTTTAAATACATAACAAAATGATTAGGTATTATTTATATATTATATATTTCATATTTGTATAGGCTGATATTGGCTTAAACAGTCTCTGTCTTTACAGATCTTAAGGTCCTTCCTTTACAAATGGTGATAATTATTATTATGAAAAAGATACAGGAAAACAATAAGTCTCCACGCCCAACTCTCCAAATGATGAAATAATTAATGTATGCATAATATATATATAACTGAAAAAATATTTACACATGCATATCGATGTTTATTTAACAGATAGAAAATAAAATAAAAAGTAGTATAACGGTAATTATTCCAAATGAAGAAACATAAAACGTTGTCACAAATATCAATTCTAGGCAAACACGTCATCAGTCATCCTATACACACATTGTATTTCAAAACCTCAAACTTGTCATTACGGCCATACAATTCGGTTCACTTCACACATATAATTGGGAAAATAATTATGTCAAATCCACTCTCCAACCAATAGTGTTTCAAATGTAATTGCAAATTAATGTTAACAGTATAAATTGATATAGAAAATAATTTTTTGACGTTGTGTCACATATAAATAAATTGAAATATCTGAATATTTGAAAATTTGTAGGCAGAATAGTACAAAACAAAAATTGCTGGTCTTATGCGTGAAAAGTTCCTTGAAATAAAAATTATTACCTTAAGATATAATAGCAAAATGAACTGCTGTCTAC